AGGCACATGGTAAGAACACCCGCTCAAGTGCGCCCGCTCAGCGGGTGATGTGTGTGCCTGGCATGGATAGAGTGGTGAGCGGGTGCACTTGAGCCTTATCATGGACACAGTGCTGAGCGGGTGCACTTGAGCGGGTGTTCTTACCATGTGCCTGGAATGGACACAATGCTGAATGGTGCACTTGAGCGGGTGTTCTTAACGTGCCTGGCATCGATACAGTGCTAAGCGGGTGCACTTGAACGGGTGTTCTTACCATATGGCTGGCATGGATACAGCGCTAAGCGGGCGCGCTTGAGCGGGTGTTCTTACCATGTGCCTGGCATGGACACAATGCTGAGCGGGTGCACTTGAGCGGGTGTTCTTACCATGTGCCTGGCATCGATACAGTGCTAAGCGGGCGCACTTCAACGGGTGTTCTTACCATGTGCCTGGCATGGATACAGTGCTAAGCGGGTGCACTTGAGCGGGTGTTCTTACCATATGGATGCTCAGCGGGCGCACTTGAACGGGTGTTCTTACCCTGTGCCTGGCATGGATACAGTGCTCACGCGAACCCGCTCAGCACTGCGGACATGCCTGCGAAATGGTGAGCACACCTGCTCACCTGCGCCCGCTCAGCAGCGCACCCATGCCTGCCACTGTACTTGGAGAAGTGTGCCTGCTCTGCGGGGGCAGTGTGCCAGGGGAGTGCCCGGACGGGGGAGTGTGCCGGGGAAGTGTGCTGGAGAGCATGGTAAGCACGCCCGCTCACGTGCACCCGCTCAGCACTGCGCACATGCTTGCGAAATGGTAAGCGCGCCCGCTCACGTCCGCCCGCTCAGCACTGCACACATGCCTGCCAAGTGGTCAGCACACCCGCTCCTGCCAAATCGCAAACACGCCCGCTCAGCTGCACCCGCTCGCTCTGCTGCCAAATGACAAGCACGCCCGCTCACGTGCACCCGCTCAGCACTGCACACATGCTTGCCAAATGGTGAGCACACCCGCTCACCTGCACCCGCTCAGCACTGCGCCCACGCCTGCCAAATGGTAAGCACGCCCGCTCACGTGAGCCCGCTCAGCACTGCGCCACATGCCTGCCAAACGCTCCCTCATGCGCACCCGCTCAGCACTGTACACATACCCGAGACCCAAGACCCAAGATCCGAAACCCGAGACTCGAGACCCGATACCGAGACCCGAGCCCGCTCAGCACTGCGCACATGCCTGCTTACGCGCGCCCTAGATTCGAGACCGAGACCCGAGACCCGAGACCCGACACCCGAGACCCGAGACCCGAGACCCGAGACCCGAGATCCGAGACCCGAGACCCGAGACCCCAAGACCCGAGACCCGACACCCGAGACCCCAGACCCGAGATCCGAGACCCGAGACCCGAGACCCGAGACCCGAGACCCGAGACCCGAGACCCGAGACCCAAGATCCGAGACCCGAGACCCGAGACCCCGAGACCCGAGACCCGAGACCCGACACCCGAGACCCGAGACCCGAGACCGGAGACCCGAGACCCGAGACCCGAGACCCGAGACCCCAAGAAACGATACCCGACACCCCCCAGACCCGAGACCCGAGATCCGAGACCCGAGACCCGAGATCCGAGACCCGAGACCCGAGACCCGAGACCCCAAGACCCGAGACCCGACACCCGAGACCCGAGATCCGAGACCCGAGACCCGAGACCCCGAGACCCGAGACCCGAGACCCGAGACCCGAGATCCGAGACCCGAGACCCGAGACCCCGAGACCCGAGACCCGAGACCCGAGACCCGAGACCCGAGACCCGAGACCCGAGATCCGAGACCCGAGACCCGAGACCCGAGACCCCAAGACCCGAGACCCGACACCCGAGACCCGAGACCCGAGATCCGAGACCTGAGACCCGAGACCCCGAGACCCGAGACCCGAGACCCGAGACCCGAGACCCGAGATCCGAGACCCGAGACCCGAGGCCCGAGACCCGAGACCCGAGACCCGAGACCCGAGACCCGAGAAGTGTCGGGGAGCCGCGGGCCCATTGTCAAGTTCGATCTCAAAGATTCGGGGCTCAAGATCAAGGATGTCGGAGGCATCTCCGGGCTGCCATTGCCTTCTGACACAGTCCCTTTGACAGGGTTGGGCCACATCTTTGCACATGAATAAACTGGGTTTGTACATCCTTGGGATTCCCTCAAATTTTGCCACCGCCTTTTAGTTCGACCACTCGAGCCTCGATCATCTCCTCCCCCACTGCACCAGTGGCGCCAACCACTCCGACCTCGGAAGCGGTCCGATGACCCGAGCTGACCCGAGCTGACCCGCGCTGCGGGGTCCCAACCCAGCGAATCTCGCTTTCAACTGTCATGTCGTCGCTTCCTTGGACTGTGCCCGAGAGTCAGAGGGTCCAAGATTGAGTCCATTTGTAACCTCGGAAACTTTATTACCGGTCTGAGTGTTTCCCAGCCACCGAGAGGGGTACCCTCAAAGACCCTGTACAGTCGCCCTACAAGGTATGCTCAAACCATTCCCAAGAAAAAGTCTTGGGAGCCCTCTTTGGCGCAGGAGTCCTTGCTGCACATCAAAAACGGCTTTGCTCAAAATAAAAACGCGCAGGAGCTGGAGGGCCGCAGGCTTCAGCTGTTCCAGTTCCAGGGTTTCAGCGTCCAAATTGAATTGTTGGGCCGAAACTGGCCGCTCCGGTGGTCATCTTCTGGCGATTCTGCAATGCTTCCACGTGGATTGAACCCACCATCCATTGCAGAGAATTGCAGCCATGCAACCGTGTGGAAGCTGCACGCATGCCCGTATGCACATGGCGTGTACGCCTGCACACGTGTACGCGTGTGCTTGCGCCTGTGCCTGCTCAGCTGGAACAAAAGCATCCCATCAACTTTGCTGTCCCTCTGTTGAGAATGAACGCTGTGCTTTTCCGAGTGCCAAGAAAGCCCGACCTACGTCACCAAACACGGCGAGACTGAACGCCACTTTTGCCCCGTGCGCGTGGCTTGAGGTCCCGGCCACCACCATGGCTCCGGCCGGAAGGGAAAAACAAATATCCAAAATTATTGCCCCACTGGGCGCCAAACGAGGACTCGATCGGCCCCAAGGTACGAAATCGTTTTTGGGAGGGAAACCATAGGACAACAAACAGTCTTTGTAGCCAAGGGTTTCGGTAGACCGTTTGTTAGCTCGGAGCAACCCTGCTCTAAGAGCCGTAAAGGATCCTCGCGTCATGCTGGCTTGCCCTCGCGATGGCATGCATGTCGGGGGTTCCAAAAAAAACCAATGGATGGTCTCGCTTCGGCTCGGTTTAAAAGCAATGGAATCCCAATAGGTCTCCCCAACAAGGAGAGTCCTTTACTGCTGGGGAGTAAGGGCTGCCCATCTTGGGAAACACCCAATTGTCCGACTTCCAACTGTCAGTACGTGGGCAACCCACACACAAAGCTTTCCGAACGGCAAAGGTACCGAGGTTGGCTTCGGGTGGAAACGCCCCTTTCTGATGTCCTGTGCACTCAGCGAGTTTAAGAACTCCACATGCACAAGCACCTTTGCATACAACGAAAGTACAAAAGCTGCAAACCAAAACTGCGCGCTCCTTTGATCCCGGCAGAACTTGCCTCCGAGGAATTTGATCCCAAAGTTGATTGAGACTGTGAGCATAGATCCCGTCCAACAGGGCTCCTCACACTGCCTGGCGCTCCGAATGGCTCCAAGTCTGTCACTGTAAGTCTGGCGTCTCGCGCGTGGATATTCGCCTGTGAGCAGCCCTGTCAAGATTGGGATGGCTTGGGGGTTGGGAAAGTGGCGGCACAGCGGCCAATGCGGCGCGGTGCATCCTTCGTGCAGACCCCCACGCTTCCATTGCAAACTGTTGCCTCGACACGTCTCTCACCCTTTCGACAGAATTCAGGACCCCTTTGGCCCAAAGCCAAAGTCAAACCTGTTTAGCGATTTGCCGATGGAGTTTGGAATTGGTCAAAGAATGGACCCCGGAAGGCTGAGTCGCCCGAGAGCCTGTGAGGACTTAAAGATACCGGGCCTTCTTCACGATAATCCCTGAACTTTCACAGCATGCTCTCAATGAGATCCGAATCGCTCTCTCTATCTCTCTCTCGGCGAATTCCGTGTTAAAGCCCTCTTGGAAACGTTGATTGCCCTGAATAAACTACAAAAAATAAGGATCGTGCATCTGTGCCTTGCCAAAAAAGAGAGCAACTGCGACGGGCTCTGGTTGCTTGCCCGACACCTAGCCCCATCGAGAGACGTGGCGAATGGTCTGCTTGCCAAGCTCGCCAAAAGCTTGACGAAGCAACATGCGCTGAAGAGAGAGGTTAAAAACCATTCACAGCAGGGGGGCGGAACCCGGACACAGCCAACAGGCATTTCACAGCAAACGGCACATATGCACACATAAAAGATGTTTGCATCAATATGTGTATGCATTTATGAATACGCATATAGTATATATATATACATAATATATATGTAGTACATGTATATGAATATGTCTTTCTGTCTGTTTGTTGGATATGCCCAGTGTTGCCAGTGATTCAAGTTGCATATGTCTTTGATGTAATGACCGAAGTGGTCAGGCTGGCCCGGTTGCAATCCTCCCTTGCCTGCAACACACTGGGCAAACGGAAAAAAACGCTTTTGCACTGCGGAATTGTTGCAACTTGTCGGCAGACTTCAAGGGGCTCCCAATTTGCCCAGTTCAATAAATCTCCCACGCAGTGGTGGAGAGGTGAGCAAAAATCGGAAGGCCAGGCCTACAGAATCGGACCCGAAAAGGCGGAAAAAAATGCACGGCCAAAAAATGGAAAAAATGCCAGCCTACTGTGCGTGGCTTGCCGGCAAATAGCGTAGGCACACATTTGTGTTGCACATTGTTTTTGGGATCCATTGGCCAAACTGATTGGGTCACAGATCCCACAGGCGATGAATTTGGCAGAACCTTGCGTACATCAAGGGAAGAGAGGTGGCAGAGGGCCTTCATGAAACAGCAAAAAACTATGAACAGACCCTTCTTCCTGGCCACCCCTTCTCCGGAGACACGCACTGATGAACTTATTGAATTTGCGTGCTCCATTTTTGACTCATTTTTTGACTGCCATTTCGGCAGCCCGTCAATCAATAGCCTGGCGGCTCCATTGTCATAGCCAAAGCGTCACTTCAGTGCCAACACCAGACCAATTTCCGCTTACCACGCTAGGCCAGGGGGAAACTGAGGGGAAAGCTTACGCTTAGTCAATTTCAAAACGATGGCTTGGAAAATCCCTGATTATTCGATTTCACCAGAAGGATAGCGGACAGCCTCCAGTCTCACGTGCCCAGCATTCCGGGCACTGCCCAGCTCTCTCTGACGCAACCATCCGGCCTTCGGCATCGATAAAAGCGGGCAGCTTGACTCAAAGCAGGTCGGGCCCATCCAACTGGAAAGTTGGTTGATCAAGAAATCAAGCTCTTAGGTATCAATCAAGAACTCAACATCCTGTTCAGGTACCTGCCCCCAACCCCAACCCCAGCAACAACCAAATCTGCTGTCTGTGGGGTCTGCAGAATTTTGAACCACATAATCCCCAGGTTGATTTTGATCGGTGGGAGGGTAGATGGAATCCGGATCTATGAGCATAAGCCCCACTTGTAGATCACTACTCTCGGGAAGAACTTAAATTGCTGATCTTGTTTGGCTCTGGACAGCAAGGTTCTTTTCTCCAGAGAAACCAAGCAGTGCGGACCCAACACAAGGACACGGGGGGGGGGGGAACACCAATTAACATGGGATATTGTCCCCCCTCCGATTTTCCTGGAAAGTCCTGGTGGCCTCCCATGTCCTCCCGAAACGAACAATAGACTACTGCCAGCTTTGTCAGCTCAGATGTTGCGCAAGACAAGCATCTCCAGTCGGGAGGGAACCCTACGGGGAGAACCACATCATCATAGACGAGCATCTGCAAGCCGCACCTCGTTCCTTTGATTTCCCCCCCTTGCACCAAAAAAGGTGCGCCCCTTCCGAAAGATGTGGCAATCCGCAAAAAGTCTCCCTCAAAAGAAGACCAACCGCTACATATATAAGTAAAAACAAAAAAGAGGTGAAAACCTCGGGGGTTCGCATCGATCCCGGCGAACGCCGAAACCCGGCCTCAGCCCTCCATGAAGGCCACCGAGATCACCGCGCCATCGTGGCCTGGCGGAGGGGAACACCAAGACCTCGCTGTGGATTTTTGGATACATAAGGATTCTTAAGCCCAGTGGACATCCCCGGAAAAACCCGCCCGGAACCCTTCCGGAACCCTAGCCCTGGAGCCACTCCGGACCACGCAGAAGCTTATCTGGGGAGAGGTCAAATTGCAGAATGGTGACGGAGGAATCAAATCAACTGATCTAGATTCCCTCCGAAATGGGACATCCCCCAAAATCAAATCAAAAAAGAAATGTATTTTTGACACAGAACAAGCTGTTAACTGGGTGCCCATTCAATGGGGAGAAGCTCCAGATCCGCGTTCAGATGCCTTCGCTCGCGCCATATCCGAATCCGGACCTCCAGTGGATTTCCGTGAGAAAGAACGGCACCCTTTTCTTAAAGATAAGGTTTCAGTAAAGCCAACTCGGGCTTCCGCTTCATGCAAAGCAGCTTGCTGCCGTCCAGGACTGATACGTATTGGAGGTGTCAAAATAGGAGGGGCCCAAGCTGTTTTCCCGTCTGCGCCAACCCCCTCCCCCCCCCACTCCCCGTGCCTTCTAGAACCTTGAGGCACTTTCCAGCCACGCTCCAGAGCCGCACAGTTCCGTCGTAGGAGGCGGAGCCGATGATCGTACCTTTGCACTTGTTGACTTGAGGTTCACATGTTCGGGGTGTTTTGACTCCTTTGAGGCTTTCTTTTTGCAGGTTGGGTTCGGCAAAAGCCAAGAGGGAAGCCACCATTTTGGGCGCCGCAGCGCTATCTTGACAAATACACATTTCGCTGTTTGCAGCCCTCTCACCGACTTTGTGGCGGAAGCGGCCGGACTGGGCATGCCAAAAAGGTATCAGCCACCCTGGTTGCTGCAAGCCCCCTGAGCACAGGTCGATCACGTTTTGTGGCTTTTGTGGCACCACCCCTCTCACCCTTGGATCAGATTCTGTTCGACTTTTGAGGCTCGGCGCAAACTCCCCGCGGATCCCTTTCCAGCCTTGGAAGGGTACATCCCCCGGCCTGACAAAATCTGACCGAGGGGTTCAGATCTCCTTGGGCTTGAGGCTTTGCATCTGCATCCGCCCATCTCAAAGAATGGAAACCTTGACAAGAACCCTCCACCCCCCCAATTGCAACTACTCTCCTACAGACTAGCATGGAACGCAAAAAAAGAAGAAGAGGAATATCCTCTTTTTCCACGATAATTTACAGGGCAAGGCGTTGCAATCCGTCACACCTTAGCGAGGTCAACTTCCTCGTTGCCACTGGCGCGCCGAATGCGAATTCCAACCCATCGCTCTAGGGGCACCATCTGGCGAGAATGCCGCCGATCTGACCTCGCAAAGCTAGGAAGCCCACCCACCCCCTCAAACAAAAGAAAGCCTGAGTGCATTCGTGTCGCCAACATCATGGATTCACGGTAGCAGTGTTTTTCTAGTGGTTCGGGGCCTTGTACACTGCTGGGGAGCCTACGCCGGAGGGTTCGCGGGGAAAGAATTTGTGGAACGGGTAGGTAGCCTTCACGAGGCTACGCTACAAAACAGTGGCTGCACAAGAAGACAGTGGCTTCGCGGAGTGGCTTCGCGGAGTGGCTTCGCGGAGTGGCTTCCCGGACATGTGCTTAGCTAGCAAATCGCTTCTAGCTAGCCTTTGCAAAGTGGCTTCGACTGTGTCAAATAGCGGGGCCTTCGTGAGAGGCTTCACGAGGCTTCGCGGCACGCAATGTATCACACAAGTGCCTTCGCAACCTTGTGGGAGCTCCCCCACAAGCTAAAATCCTTCATGTGAAGAAAACAACAAAACATAGCTGAAGCATCCACACAAGCCCTTGTATGAATTGGTTTTCAAGCGTGCCCAATGAAGACCGGAGACGCCCAAGCTGTTTTATTCCCCAGATAGCTGAAAGCTATGGGGGTTCTAACTTCTAAAGAAGGGAAAGTGATTTGCGAGATTGACAGCCGAGTGCTAGGGGCCATGCAGGTGACGGTGCGGGCGCACTTTGGCAAGATTCACGGTAGGGTGCCAGGGGCAGTCTGGGGTGCTGACACAGGTGCTGCTTTGGGATGCTGTTTGCGGTGCTGTTTGAGGTGCTGGTGATGGTGCAGGCGCATTTTTGCGAGATTCACGGTCGGGTGCTCTGGGAGTGCTGTTTGGGGGTGCTGTTCGGGTGATGGTGCGGACGCGCTTTTGCGTTTGATATCAGGGGGGCATGCAATTTGGGAGTTCTTTGCTGTTTGGGGTGTTGGTGGAGGTGCTCTTGGTGCAGTGCTGCTGGCGGTGCTAACGTACAATCGTTGGCAGGTGCTTCGCCATCCAGGGTCTATGCTGGTGAATTCTTATTGTCTGAATTAGGTATCTGAGGCAGCAGCCCTTGCTTCCACACTTGCGCCGTGGTTTCATCACAGCCACGCACAATCCGAAGCAGAATTCCAACGACCATCATGAACCAGAAATGTCCAACTAACCTGGCTCGGCTTCCTTGATGAGGAACATGTTGATGAACAAGTGCCACACTGTCTGATTTTCAGCATGGCCATATCGCTGCCACACTTTTGGCCAAGAACCTGCCCTTCCAAGGAAGGTCCTGCTGTGAATCGACAAAATCCCCTTCGCATTGAGATTGGTGGCTTCCCACTTTCAAATCGGGTTTCATCCACACCTGGTGCAAAAAAAGCGGATTTTGTATACAGAATGAGTCACTGCCGGATCCCAAAAATGGAGGGAGAAATCGGCTGGGGCCAGTGCCCAGTCCTCATGACCCGACAGCGTCAGGACCTCAAACGAGACTTTTGGCGGACCCCAAAATTGGGGCCGTTCCTTTTGGGTTCCCTTTCTACCTGAACATGTGACTCTCACAAAAGATATACCCCAAATATCCGAGCTCGGTTCTGGGCTCCAAATCAAAAACAATCCCTTCAAGAATGGACTTCACGGCGATCAAATCTCTCGGTTTGGTGACTAGCCTATGGGCGTGGGTAGGGGTCATAGTATATAACATGGGCAAGTTATTGTGAAACCCCAAAAGGGGTCCCAACCAAAAGCAAACCCCTCTCGGAATGAAGGTTTCTTAATTTCCAGGTCAAGCTGACCTGGAAGAATCCATCAACATGATGTTTTTTCCCCCATTTTAGTGGGCATCGCATGGAAACTTGTGTGCACCAACCAGTTTTCAGCACGTTCCCGATTCGAAATCTGGGAAATTTAGTGAGTCTCTCTTGCCCATTGTCATGTTATTCTCTTTAGTCCTTAGGATGTGTTTCTAAAACAGGGCAGCACAATAAATCCATCCCGCCAGCAAAAATGAGACAGACTCAGCAGCAACAAACATTGGGAAGGTCCCCCCAACATCTAAGTACTCAGGCTTGCGTTTGGCTTGCCCCTTTTCACATCATGGAAGACGGCTCCTTTCGAAAATGGTAGCCTTCAAGCTACAGGGCAGACCCCGCAGCAATATAAGTGTTCGCAAAGATTTGGGGCCCCATAAATGGTTGGTTCGCCTTTGTGTTCCTCTTGAAAGCGACCAAAAGGGGGTTGCTAATGTGTATATAATACACATATATATATATATATATATATGTATATGTGTGTGACATGGTTTGGGTCCTTTGGAAGGGCCCCACAAGCAAGGTTTCCCCAGCCCACCAATTTGGCGGCAGACACACTCGCCATCTTCAGCCTGGGCCGGCAGGTCAGTTGGCTCTGAACGTGAAGAACAAAAGTGGTCGGTGGACATGAATCCCCACCTAAACGATGTGATTGCCGACTCGAAAGCAGCTCAAATCCAAAGATCTTCAACTGATCCTGTTGAAGCAGAAAAGATGCCCTATATCAAAGATCTTCAGATTCCACCAGCAGTGTTCCAAAAATATTGGCCGACGAGGAATTATCCTGGTGCTCACTAGGTGGTCTGGTAGCTGCCATGTTCCGTGCGACTAAGGAGGACACCTTGGGTTGCTCTAAGCCCCCCGAACAAGCAAGAGGTCGATCAAAAGGTCTAAGGCGGTATTTGGGGTCACACCAAGGACCTGCCGAGAAAAGAAATACTGGCGCTCTGTGAATCAACCCTTTCGGCTCTGTCAAATCAGATTCAGATGCCTTCCAAAGCAATCTTCACCCAACATCATACGCGAGAGGTGCTTTCGTGCAACCCTGGCTTGATGGACATCGGTACGCCCTGCACTGCTCTTGAAGAGTCGAGCATCCCTGGCAAGCGGTGAAACTCAACATGGAGCCGGAGAAAAGGTTCCACCACTAGAGCTTCGTCTGCAACTGGGTGTTCCGAGCATTTGAGGTTAAGTTTCAGGAATGCATTCGATGATGGCCTCTTGCCAGAATTGTGTTCAGCGTGTCTCTAGCACGACGCCTCCTGAGTCAGCATCACAACCTGGCATCGAATAGCTCTACCCAGAACCTGTGTACAAGAATTACAAGGGCATCCATCCCAAATGGTGCGAAGCGGAGTTTTGTCCATCCACAGTACCGCCGGCACTGTCCCCTACCTTGCATGCCCAAAATATTGCGAGTAAGGGAACCAAAAAACCCTCTAGGTACTCTAGTTCACCATCTTTTAACATGGTGTTTTGTGGTTGAGTCTGATTGGTTTACTTGCAATAGGCGGGGCATCCACCAGATTTTCAGGCTTCTCTTGATGGTCGAAACCCCGAGGGCGCTGGCATCGAAAATCCGCAGGCTCTCGCTGGCCGACGCCAGCAGGACCTCCGTAAATCGGCCGTCTGTCTTGTCACCCCCAACGTGTTAGACAGAGAACCACCCCCTAGCCCTAGTCAAAATCATGACCCCGAGATGAATGTCCATCGGGAACGACCTCCTGGTGAACATGAATCCTAAATGTGTCCACCCCTTGGGGTCCCCTGTTAAAATTCATAGCCAATTCAACTTCCCTCTGCTTGGGGGTTTGGATTGTTGCTTTGGAGATTGGGGGCGGTGTCCCATTTACCCTCCACAAGCACCAATCCAAACCACCAAGGAAGACTTCCTCAAAACATGACTACCCCAATTTTGTGGGTGTATACCCGCAAAAACAAAAACAAGGCTTCGTGCGAGTCCCTCTTGGATACCCAATTCAAACAAAGATTTCGACTTAAGCAGAGTAGATAAAATGCCCGCAAAACAAACCGATGATCCGGCAACACGACAGCCGCCCTGCAGTATAATTAGCCTTGGTGCATGATCTTCTCGTTGCGGCCCAACCGGTCCCAATGCCGTCACCATCAAAAGCCGGCAGTTTCCACAAAAGGGCGGATATCCGCGATGGGACCTCTTAACCTTCACTGACCCGAAGTGAGCCTTTCCCTTCCAATCCACTGGACCGGTGCAAAGGTCCTTAGGGTCCTTTGGGCACCCAAGTCCGACCTTTCCGCGAATTTGAACCCCAAATGAAGCAACCTGCAAGGATTCACAGCCCCCAATTAGAATCAACCAGAAAGCAATCCTGGGCTCCAATTGCTTCGCCCTGGCCCAAAGAAGCCTGGAGAAACAACCTATGTTTTCCCATTTGCCGCAACAGCCGTCCCTTTCCAACTTCCTGGGTGAAGCAGCAAAGAAAGTCCAAACTGATTGTTTGCTTCTATCATGCTCTTCACGTGAAGAACAAAGTCCAGAGTGTATCTGCTGGCAGGAAAAACAACAAAGCAAACTGCCCCCCCACCTTCTGGCCATCTGGAGAGAAGACCGCGTCATTGACCACCTGGCATGCGGGTGGCAACATCGGTTTGAAAACCAGAGACGGAGCTCCCACTGCAAATCACCAAAGTTGTGATTGTGCACAGGGAAACAAACCCATCAGCACCACCCGTTGGAAGGCTATTTGTTCCCTGTGGATGCAAATTTATTGGAGCTTTGGTGGACATCTTTTGCATGTGCGACTCTTGGCCCAAAAACCGCTGGAAGTAAACTGGCAAATCTCAAAACTAGCAAGCAATTAAACTCATCACCCCAAATTCAAACTATCAAACCATGCGCAGTCAAAACCCCAGCACGTAGCGATGGCCTTACGGCGCACAACTGGAAAATGATGGTGATCGTGGAGACCACCCCTTTCTTATATGTTCAAACCACGATTGTGTAAACATCTTCTGGATTTTCCTGGGGCCCAAGCTCTTCTTGTTCAAGCGCATGGGTATGTCCTTTTTGTAGGGTACCCATTTCACCCCACTTCGGGACACACTTGTATTTGGCCCCACGGCCCCCACCCCCCCCCCCCCCCCGGCCTTGCCATCACCGGGGATGATTAAGTGGCAAGCGCCGCTGGCCTCGAATGGCAAAGTCTTGCAACCCAGATCCTTGAGCCACGGTAACCGAGAAGTGACATCCTCAGGACCCAAGCTTTGTGGTGGTTTAAAGTGCTTGTTGTTTGGGTCCCCAAACACATCAGATGAGAACCCTCAGAATGTCACCATCTTGAGGGACCCCAGAATTGCGTTGCTGGTTCTTCGGGGGTTGGGGAAATGTCGGTCCCTCGATACCCCGGTGATTGCCCAATGTTGCGCAGGCCTGTACCAGGAGCGCGTGACTGGATATAAAATAGCATCTACTTATCTACCTATGTTGCGTGCCTAGCTATTGATCTGTCTGCCTATCCATCTAGCTACCTACCTATCTACCTTTGTTTGCCTATCTGTCTAAATATCTATCTATTTATCTATCTGCACATCTACCTCTGTCTGTCTGTCTGTCTATCTATCTGGCTGTCTATTTATCTGTCTATCCGTCTATCTGTCTATCCTTCTATCAGTCTATCCGTCTATCTGTCTATTTGTCTATCTGTCTATCTACCTGCCTGCCTACCTGCCTACATTAATGACGTGCACAAGGACTGGTCTCAAAGAATCAACCCCCCTGGCCGCGATGAGGTTTCAGAGCCCGGTCCCGGGCCACCGAGCCACCTCCCAGAGCCTTGCAGTGCCATCATAGGCTGACGATGTCATAATCCGATGACCGTCCTCCCAAGGTCAACGAGTCAAGTCGAGTCCCGTCTACAATTTGGATTTAGCCATGTATTGGAATTGGCGACTGGAGGATGATATTGCTGTCTCTCTTTGCGGAATGATCATCCTGAGTATCCAATACTCGAGTATTCCAACAGAGACACAAAGCTGGCAGCTGCCTCAGTCAAACCCCGAACTCCAAGAGACAACCGATTAGCTTTGCCATCTGAGTCCTAATCAGAACGCAAGCGTGCTTTTTTTCCGCAAAAGGATGCTGGGTGTTGCTCAAAATTTGGACGACAGGAGTCCTATATACCCCCAGCTTCACAAGGCAAACGCGGCAGGTTCCGCGGTCCGGCGAAAACTTCACAGAGCTGATAGCCTTGGTGTGACCTGCGCGGGGAGCGGAGTGAAGCTGGTTGCAACTCTCTCAAATCGGATTTTCTCGAAACGGTGATTTGGATTGGGGATTAGGGGGCAGTTTCCCATTAACCCTCAAGGTTCAAATCCGCAAGTCATCCAAACCACGAATTAAGGATTACTTGATGAGAAAGGTTACTCAGCCCACCCACAGAGGCAGGTTACAAATTCCAAAGCTAAATCGGGGTGGCTGAAAGCAAAGGCAATGATGCAGCCAGGGAGAACTGGAAAGCAGCAGGCAATACATGTCGGTAGCTGCAAATAAGAAAGCCGGCAAAATCTCCGAATCCTTTCCCAAGACCTCAAAGATCCGCAACCCCGCCCTCCATGCACTAGTTCCCTTGACCCACGGAAAAATGTACGTATTATGAATGCGGAGTGTCAAAGTCTATTCAGCTCGGCCACCCATCTCGGCCTCGGAAAACTTGTAGGCACTTCCCAGAAGGGACCGCCTCAGGCGAACGAGCGGAACCGCTTTCTTCTAGCCGAGCGACCTCCCACTTTCCGGACCCTGGAAGCGCCGTTCGCAAGCTTCTTTCCAAGCTGAGCTGGGTGAGGGCTTTCTGAATGCCTCAAAACCGTCTCTCGAACCTGATTGGCAAAGTCGCATACATGCCCGGCATGTTTTTAGCAGCTAGGTTGGGAGGAGCACACCAAATGGTCCAACCAACGGGCTCCCAAGTTTTTCCCTATCACTCCAAAATGAGACTTGCTTCAAATTGGTATCCGAAAGGTCGCGTTCTCCAACAAGATATCATGTCTAAAACCACCAGTGATGTTTAAAGCCACCCACCCCCTTTTGGGGGGGGGGGGCGGATATGGGGACTGACCAATCAAAAACTCATAAGGCAAAGGTCCCTTGCTCCGCGTCCGAGGCACCCAGAGCCGTGCCGTGCCATCAGCAGAGGCAGTCGCCGCCTCGGGGCAAAGCTAACCTCCCGCTTTTAAGGGAGCCCTTTAGGGGAAGAACTCTAGGGGATGCTGGGGGCATCCCATGTGTTGTGTTTCAGGAGAAAATCCTTTTGAGGTTGTTTGACAGTTGAACCAAATGAACAGCGCCCGAAACCCACCATAGGTTCCAACCTGATGATACAGGTTTTTATAGGAAAAAAGTGAGAGGGAGAGAGAGGCCTTGCTAAAAGTCATCACAAAAGTCTCCATGAAACTAGGGAGTGGAGCCACCTACCAAAATCATCTTTTTGGGGCTTTGGGTTCTGCTCAAAGGACTGTTGGGCCCGTGTTGGGAGTTCTCCCTGTTCCGAGGCAAACCAACGAACAGGCAAGCGCCCATCTAGCACACTCTTGTGGGCACCCAATCCACAAGCAATTTCACGAGCCATCAGATTCTATCAAAGCACTATGAGAGCTTCACTTTTGGTCCTGAAAGGGCAAGAGTCTTGGCCCCTGCAAAAGCCAGGCTTCTGTGTGACTTGAAGCCCTTCTCAGGCAACTCGCTTCAGACCCATCTGGGCCTCTGACCATTTGGCCGCATGCGGACAAATCGACGCTTTTCACCACGTCTACGTGGCCTTCCTGCCAAGCGGCCAGCGTTGCGCCGGCATCGAAATCAGCCCCGGGACAAGGAAAATGCTGAAGCCCGCATCTACTCACACGGTTGGGTCTCTTTGAGGTCTCGGCCAGAGGTAGGCACTAGTTGAAAATTGAACACAAAGCAGCGGTCGCCCACATCAAGCTGCTTGAATCATAAATACTTCACAAACCGAAAATCAGTATTCCCTGTGAAAGGAATCTTCATCCTGGGGCTTCAGTCCCAAAAGCCAAACCCTCGTGAGGTCGCTGCAAATTTGCCCAGACCAAACATTGAAGCCAAGGGAGGGGATGAATTGAGTTTCGTTGTGTTACACAGGAGGATGCAAGTAGAAACTCCCCTGGCTGCTCAAAGTGGTTCACCAAACTCTACAGGGATTGAATCGAACAAAATGAGCCCTGCCCCGCAACAAGGTCGCTCCAAAGCTGGCAGGGCGTTTGCAACACCGAAGCCAGTTGTGTGGCCTGCGTCGACTTTGGAAAAAAAACCACACAGCCCACCTTCAGCTCACCTCTTGACATCTTAGGTTGCCACGAAATCAACTTGAAATCCCAAAAAAAGCAACCGAAAAGGCCCTAGCCGCAAAGAAAACCGAAAAGAAAACAGAACACAAAAAAGAACCAAAACTGGGAAACACAAAATTTGGACGATGCCACATCGCCCGCTCCAGACTCGCCAACCGCTCGCCGGTCTTCGCGGCCCACAGGGCCGCAGTGCCGTCACCAGCGCCTTCGCGAGCGTCAAGTAGGGAAGGGAAAAAAGGAGCTCACCAGAACGAACAAACTTGTTTCGCCCAGATAGCTAATTGTGGGTTTGTCAGTTTATTTGGTGGTTTGTTATTTGGGGTGTCTGTTGCTAGATTGTTTGTTAGTTGGCTTGTTTGTTGGGGAAAGGCAAGAAAGTACCGCCTATCGGACTTACTGGCTACTTAGTGGCTGACTGACTGACTAAGTAACTAAGTAACTAAGTACGAAGTGACTGCGTAACTCATTAACAAGCTAACTAACTAACTAACTAACTAACTAACTGACTAACTAACTAACTTACTAACTAACAAAGTAACTAACTGACTAACTAACGAATGAACGAACGGACGAACTCACTAACTCGCTAACTCGCTAACTCACTAACTAACTCACTCACTCACTCACTCACTCACTCACTCACCCACTCACCCACCCACCCACCCACCCACCCACCACCCACCCACCCACCCACCCACTCACCCACCCACCCACCCACCCTCCGACCCACCCGCGCACTCACTCACTTCAGTAACCAACCCCCACCCAACCTTTAACCGAGCGACCGGCCGCCAACCGACTATCCTATACCCAAACTCATTGACGAAAATGGACAAGTATATAACTAATTCAACAGCTCACAAACTTACCAACCAAATGTGTAGTATTTTGGAATGCTTGAGGACCATGTCTCTCGCCAGTACTCAGCTGCAACCCTGATGTTGAACCAAGGTTCGAACACGTACAGTTTGTACATGCATACTACTGTTGGGCACATGTTTGGCCACATGTTGTCAAAGCAAACAATGTCACTACTGGGGCGATATGATAGAGTAGACAGTTTGGCTAGACAGGTGTTCAATGGTGAAGCATCAGGTATTAAATGTGTGGTGGGATGTGCGTATTGTGACAAGCTCTTGTTAACGCAGACGTTTCAGTCAGGATGTCATGTGCGACAGCACCGTATATTCCACACCTTCCAACATGAAATCCATGATAGCAGCATCAGTTGACGTTTGTTCTGCGGGAATCTATCATGTCCTGTCGACCGAAGGCTGCCAAGACTTGCACCGAAAGGCACACTCAATACCAAAGTTGAGGAAATGTGGGAAAGTGCATTCGGGAACTCCCTTTTGGCGGACGCAAACAGAAATAGGACACCTCGATGTGGGGGGGGGTCGATAGCTCTGAGACGGCAATGCATGACAACAGGCAGGAAGCGGGGTTTGTGTCAAGGGGAACCCTCCAAAATGGCGGCTTTGCTGGTTTCCTTTTCAAATAGCTAGAAGAGGGGGGACCCCACACACACCCAGAAGAACCTCTCTCGATGTCGGCAACCTTCTAGTGACCTCTTGGCCGCGCCTGTCAGTACCATACTGCCGTCTGGAGAGAAGCGAGCAGCCCTGACCTCACCTGAGCTCTGTCATCTGAGAGTTGATCATAGCTGAACCATGGCTCTGATTGGCTCTGCGTTTTGCGCCTCGTTGACCAGCTGAGAAATAAGACGATCCATCGCCCTTCACGCGATCAAAAAAGACAGATTGGGCTGGCCCGTCGAGAACTCATTTACAAATCCTGTTTAGTATCCCCTGGCGGAAAATCCCTGGCCCCGCTCAGGCAAGGCCAAAGCGACACTTGATTTCACGCTCCCAAAGGCCGCCCTCTTTTTGTCGACCTTTCGCTGGTGAGCGCATGGAGCGAAACATCGCTTCGAAAACTTTGACCAGGGAGCCCAAAGCCGGAGGCCCGAAAATGGAAGCGCAATCTTGCCTTTTGCCGTCTGACACTTAAGCCGAAGGGTCAATGACTGTCCGGAACGTTACAGTCGTCACGAGCGCGTCTTAAAACTTGAGCTTTGGCAAGGAGCCCTGAAACGACAAGTGTCGATTGGTCCCGTCAAAAAAGAAAAATGCGCATCCAAAAGTGTTCAGTTCGCATTGAATGTAGCGGACATTATCAAAGGCTGGCATCAACTCCCAGCGGTGCTATGCGAGGAGGCTAAACAATGTCTGAAGGTGGTGCCGGAAGTGGGCCAAGCATGCTTTGAAAGCCTGGTGTGCACAAACTGCTCAAGTAAACTGTTCGGTGCTTTAGACTGCCTTGGCATAAATTGTTTCAGACTGGGCTGGTCTGGCCTAGGATCCGTCATGAAACATTTGCGGAAATGCACTCAACATCACAGCCAACTTTGATCATTGGAACTGCAGGACACAGATCTGCTACGAGACATTTGACATGTCATAGACTTCTGCAAACACTACAATAATTACCAAAACTTGGAATAAGAATCGAATCCCCAAGCAAAGGCCGAACATCATGGTGAGCTCGCGCTACCCCCAGAGCTCGCCATATGCAGATAAATGTCTGCTCCAGTTGGGCTCCACTGCAAGTCAGGACTCCTAAACGTACTGTTCCTCCGGCATGCCGGCGCAAAGGCACGTCCGACAGCAAGATGCGAGCATGCAACATGTACAGGGATCATTATTTGTCCAACAAGATTTCAAATGATCCAACAAAATGCCCAGTCATGTTCCGAAGAGCAATCCCGGAACCCTTCCCGAACCCTGGCCAGGAACTATGTCGAACCACTTTGGAGCCGATCTTGGCAAAAAACAGCCAGAGATGAAAGAGCTGTTGAAAAACAACTCTTCGCATTGCCCTGGGGGATTTGGCCGATTGCACATACGCCAACCAACATGTGCTCAGCTCTGCCTCTCAGCTCCCTCCGGGCCGAGCTCAACAGCTCAAAGGCTCACGGATTCCTATCCAGCCCTGCACCCTCACGGGTCGCCCCGAAACATCCGTTGCAAACAAGTCTCGACTTCATGCCCACACCAAGAATTTACAAATGATAATGATTGAATTTGTTTCTCCCTTCGACGAACCGTTTCTGTCTAACAGCCACGCTGTAATGATTCACCAACTGGAAATAAGGAATCTCTTGGCAAGTGGAAAAGGTCCCCACGGACTTTAACTGAAAACCGACAACCTAATGATACCTGAATGTGTCTCACACCACAACCATCTTCTCACGCTGCCACGGCAAAAGTGCTGCCTGGCAGCACGCTGCACAGCCGATCCCAAGGTGCAGGGTTGGGCGATTCAACCCCTTCAAACCCACTTCTGTTTTTGGCTTCCCGTTTTAAGGAACTAGACCAGGGGGTGGTTGTTCATACATGTTTCAACCAACCTGCAACCCGGCAGGGTGGGTCAAAAAAAAGAATCGCCGCCCTGTCAGCCACTCAATAGGTCTGAGGAGGGAGACAAAAACAACAAGTCGTACACCAGGGGATGTTGAATCCCAACACAGTGGGAGGATGCCCACCTTGCACCGAACTCTAAATTGACTCCTTGGTGGCCATTCCTTGCACTATCCTCTGGGTGCGGCCCCCATTGACAAAATGAGGTGGAGTAAACATTCTGAGCTGGCAACGGATGGCATGTGTCAAATAGAGGGACCCCCAAAGTCCGATCAAAAACCAGCAAAAGGGAACCCTCAGAAAAAAAGAAAATAAAAAAGAAAAACAGAAACACCGCATATGTCTCTGTTGCTACTCTTCCATGCCATGACCTTGTGAACAACAGCTAACTGATGGGGCCCCTTGAACCTTCTGGCCTTGGGTATGTATGAAACCAGCGGCCTTCAGGCCAAGGTGGCTTCGACTACCCCCAAACAACCTGCAGGGGAGACAGGGGAATATACCTTTGGGGAGTGTGAACCATCTTGAACTCCTGTGCTTTCCAACAAGGAGACAAATATGGAACCCTGGGCCCTTTTCACAGGCAGTCTTCTTTCACATGTGCACATGGATAACTCGGGTGTTGCCATGCTTATTGTCGGTGCTTGAAACTCGGGTTCTCAAACTCACCTTTGGAATCGTGGCATCTTTTGGAAGGCGCCCTCGGAAACCAAAGCCAAGCCGAGCGCTCCCAGCTCTCAAACTCCGTGCCTGCAGAACCGCCGCCACGTCCGAGGGACCGGAGCCTGGGCCCTGGCACCGGGTTGATTGTGGTCCACGGATACCTGGCCTGAGACCATCTTTCCTTTGTGTATGTATATATATATATATTGATTAATATATATATATATATATATATATCTATATGTATATATATGTACCAGTCCCTGGGCCACGTACCCCCCCCCCCCCCCCCAATGGTATGGTCCCCCCACTCCCCCGCATCATCCGCATCTTGGGGATGATGCTGGCAATGCTGGGGATGCTGTCCAGTACCGTGCGAGCCCTGCAGCTTCGGTCCCAGACCCCCTTTCACCCCGTGAACCAACACCCCCGCACCTCTCGCAACATCCTACCCTAAACCAAACCACCCTGCAACCCCTCCTTAACCCCAACCCTAAGCCTAAATCAACCCAAACCCCAAACCCACCCGAAACCCACCGCAAACCAACCCTGAACCAACCCTGAACCAACCCTAAACCAACCCACCAAGCCTAAACCAACTCCGAACCACACCCCAACCACCCAACCACCCAACCACCCAACCACCCAACCACCCAACCACCCAACCACCCAACCACCCAACCACCACCACCCCACCACCCCACCACCCCACCACCCCACCACCCACCACCACCCCCCACAGGGGGGGGGGGGTTGGCCCAACCACCCAACCACCCAACCACCACCCCACCACCCCACCACCACCCCACCACCCACCCACCCCACCCCCACAGGGGGGGGGGGGGGGGGGGGGGGGGGGGGTCCACGGCCTGGAACATATATATATATATATGTGAACCAATTTGCCAAGCCCCCGGAGCCGGGAGAGCAGCAGTCTGGCACAGTGAAGAAGCTGAAGAAGAAACCGAGTGAACCAGAATTTGAATACTTGATTGATGACTGGTGGTTCACAATCCCTGGTGCATCTACCATTTCCAAAGAGCAACGCAAAATATAGACTAGTCGACTCAATTTGAGGAGATAAGAAAAACTCCGGATATCTACAACTTCAGACATTCCCCTTGTCAACTGAAAACAATAACGGGCTTGCCCCCGTTTATGTCCCAACCAGTCCCCAGTTCAATACCATGCCTCTCAAGAAAACAAAAGGGACCAGATCGGTGACGTTTCAGGTTTGGGGGGGTTCGCGGAGGATGATAGCGTTCACGATCACTGAACAAATATGTTGTGTTCATGATCACTTCATTGTCAAGGAACAAAAACGTTTTCCTTTGCAGCTACGGCCACTTCATGATCACTGAACAAACGCGCACGCTTTCTTGCGCACTTTTGATCCCCTCATGATCGCTGAAGTCCAATGGAAACATAAAACTGTGGCACCTGCCGCTGGCAGGCTGCTGCGAAGATTTCACACAAGCTGTTTGTTGAATGATCAACAGGCTGATGTTCTTGCTGCCTCAATGGCTTGCTTAACAATGGTGGGTTAAACATGCTTGAACCCATAGGCACCCCGTGTTGTTGGTGCAGTTTCTATTCCCCTTCAAAGCCAAACCACTTCCCCCCTTCAACGAGGGCTTTTGCCCAACCTTCCGCCGGATAGCCTTGGCGCAAAGATCGAAGCGCATGGTATCCGCCGGCGCATCGAGCAACGCGCTGGCCGTGGCGTTGGCCACATCGGCGCCTGAAGAGCCCACCCAGGACACTTGGATGTTCCGTTGGAGGTATTCTCTCACTGAAGCAAATGGCTCGAAGCTGGCCAATTAAGAGACAGGGACGAGATTGGTCTTGACGTCCCCGGCCCCCTCACAATAAAGGAGCCAGGGAAGTATTGAACAAACTTCAGATTTTGGGAGAATAGAAAGTCACAATGCAAGGCTCGGTAGTTTGAACTGCAGGACCAGCTACAGTATCACTCAGTCACGCACAGGCGCACTCGCAGCCACACGCGCGCACACGCGCCTACACACTTTCAGAAAGGTCGAAGTTCAATAGTCTGATTCCAACTCAACAAGTTCCGATTCATCTGAATGCGTGGATACCCTCGCAGCGCACACGATTTCGCCCAGGAGCGGGGGATCATGTAGAAGCCCTCAGAGAACCAGCTCTCCTCATCCTGAGTTGAGCCGGATCCGTCAGTCGGCCCAAGGTCAGCCAATCGAGGGCTGAACCCATCACTCCAATCGAAAGTTCAACGGATAAGACTCTGTTTCGCTGGCAGTTCCCTGCCAGTGGCTTGCGCCAAAACCAAAGATTGGGCTTGTTTGCTCTAAGATCGCGCAAACATCAGGCGCGAGGAACGCAAAATCTGGCTTTTGAAAGGACAAACGGATTCTACATTGCATCCAAGCAACAACATGAAGCATAACACAAATCAGACCATCACAGCTTCAACTCAGATGAGTGACAATATTCTCATAGCGACGCATCCAGAAGAGCACAGATCCGAGAATGTGGGTTCTTCTCAATTTGTGACCCCATCCAGGTGGTTGG